TGACAAATGCCCAAAGGCTGGGAAATGCGGGAGTCTTGTCCATTTCGGGGGTGTCACCGGAGCAGCACCACACCTGACCGGCCCCATCCCTTGCCAGGCTCCTAATAGCATCCCTTTGGCAAAGGCTTCCCCTCCGCTGGTCCCAGGGAGGGAAAGGGAGTCAATCTTGCAAGGCAGAGGTGCAGCGGAGTGGGAAGGGGCTGTGCCCTGGAGGTCTGCCATAAGCAGGATGTTGGGACCTGCTTCCTCACCTGCAGTTTAAATAAAACGAATGCTCTTACGCTACGTGTGATGCACGTCCGAGTCCCAGACCAGCCCTTCCGTCCATGGCATCTCTGGCATGGGAGAAGCGGACTCGATGGCTGCTCAGTGGAGTGGATGGGGCTGGGAGCCCTAAATGATCTATAGGGGATTAACTAACTGTTAAGTTCACGACTAGATGGGAGTGCTGTAACCTGGTGCCACGGACACGGAAGAGACGGAGGACCTGAGCTGGGCGACTCAATCGGCGCTTCTTCCGCGAGACCTTCCGCCTTTTGTTTCCTGTTGGCATCGGGCTGGAAGGTGTTGGGTGTCCGAGGGCAAGGGGGTTAGGGCTGGGATAATTGGGTAGTGACTCTTTGCACAGAGCATGCATCATGAGTCCTGTCATCCAAAGTCACCGAGTGCTTTATGGAGCTAAGGTAACGTCATCAGCCCTGCTGGGTAGATGGGCAAGCTCAGGAAGGGCACGGTGGCTGGGCAACTGGTCGGTACTTGGAGAGTTGCCACGTGTTCGTTGTCACACCACACATGCAATCGACTTGCAGGCTGTGGGCTGGGGACCCCATGCAAAAAGTACCTTACCATGGTATCTCTCTGGGACTAGTGCTTTAAAAGGTCCTTTGGCTCCCAAGGAGCAGGATTCCCACGCGTTTCAGACGGCCGCAGCCCTGCCGGCATGCCCGTTGCAGTAGCGTGGCCGAGGGCTGTCTCTGGGGCTGCTGTGGGAAGCCTAATTCTGCAAAGCCAGCTGCTAACCTTCGGGGGGATTCCTGCCATTGTCCTGTTGATGAAGTGGCAAATGCTAGAAACGGTTTAGAGATGTCTGGTAGGAAAATCGGCTGAGTTGTTAGCTTGTTTGGGGGCTGGAGAGGAGGGGGAAGCACTTTATTTGTTGCAATGATGCAGAAATCTGCCAAGTGCAGATCACAAGGCATGTGGCTTGCTTACCTGTTGGCTCTAGCTGGTTTTTTTTTCAGTGGCTGGAGGGGGTTGGGCTGCTCATTGCATTGCTGGATACGGGCTTCAGAGCAGCAACTTCAATGCACGCGCTTTAACTTTGTCTCTGCTTCCAAAGGCTTCCCGTCCTCGGATATCGGTAATAACCGGGCAGGCAGTGAAAGGAGCCTGAATTGGCTGTTGGAGCAAAAAGCAGGTTATGCGGAGAGCTTGCGTTCCCCCAGGAACATGCTGAGCAGCGAAGACCTTCCCTGGGGCATATTGACGGCATTGAAGCTCTGCCTGTAGACGACAGCTTCCAAGCCGAGGATGTTCTGTCCCTGGTTGCACGCGTCGTGTGACTGAGCTACGTGTGGGTGTGGGTAACGGGGTGGGGGAGAATTGGCCAGGCTGGTAAGTCAGTGGCCCAGGAAAGCCCAGCTCAGCTGTTGCCAGGAAGAGCATTACCTTGCTCCAGGGAACCTGCCAGCAGTTGCAGCCCGGCCTGCGCTGCTAGTTGAATGCCACGCCGAGCTAGCTGCACCGCGTGTAAGGGGATCTGGCCTGCCTGGCATGATTTGCACAGAGCTGTCTGGGACTTGCCCTTTAGTGCCTGGATGGGTGCCAAGCCTCGGTGCTCTTTACACATAGGCACGGTTCTGAGGTCACCACATCTTGTGAGTCTCCAGGATTGTGAAACACAACCCTTGCCCTGCCAGCTCTCAACCCGCAGGGGAGGATCCCAGATCTCACTAGGTGTCCTGGGATCCGGCGGGATTTTGGCAAGGCGTCGTGCCCGCAACCTGCTTCAGCTGTAATGTAACTGGTATCGATGCCGTTTGGTGGGATGCTTTACGTTGTCAAGCCCATAGCGGAGGGGCTGTGGCTTGTAGGTGGGGAAACTGGGGTGCTGGAAGAGAGGTGACGTGCACCAAGTCAGCCAGCAAGTTGTTGGCAGAGCTGCAATCGGAGCTCGCGCCTCCCAAGTCCCAGTCTGGTGTCTTGGCCGCTGGAGAAACCGAGTGGGTACAAACTCGAGCACCTGATGCATCCCATGCCCTTCTGGACTGACACCTCGTGCTTCCCTTGCCTTGGACTCGAGTGCATCACAACCCGTGTGGTGATCCACTCTCTAAATGCCTTCCCAGAGAAGGCTCCTCCGAGTACCGGGATCCAGGAGTGCCAGTGCACGTGTGATCTGCTCGGCCAGGCTTCAGGCTAAATGACAAATGGATAGTCTCCACCGGCACCGTGGTTAGCGTACAGACACAGGATGATACATTCAGGGTTAAGATCGCGGCGCAAGATGGATCAAATACAGCAGCCGCCTGGGAACGCTCCCTGGCTGGTGAAACCTGCCTGCTGGTTTAAGAGCGCTCTTTGCAGCAGAGGCTAGACGGGGAAACGTCCTTCCCCTCATCTTCACCACCCTGCTTTGCTCTGGGGAGCTGCAACTGCCTGGAAATCTCTTCGGATCTGAATCATTTAATGCACGTTGCCTTGCCTTCCTCCCCTTTCCCGTCGGATGAATCCGTGCCAATACAATGGGCCCCTTGGCTACCAGGATGGGTTTAGGAAGCCAGCTATCCGTCCTGAGCCTGCCGGTGAGCTCCACACGCTTCTACACCTGACGCTGAAGTGATGTGAAGTGGAGAAGGCACCCAGGGAGCTGGTTTCCAACCACCCTTGAGCCCAAACTGGGCTCCGTGCTGTTCCCCCACGCATGCCTTCTTGTGGGGCCCCCTCTGCCGGCCCCCTCCCCGGCTGGGAGGACTGGGAGGCTTTGACAATAGAAGCTCTGTCCCTGACGCTGCCCGTTTCGTCTGGGTGGGTGGAAAATGAGGCACTGAAGCAAAATGATAATCTGTCTGAGGTCCCATGTTGGTGTGCTGCCGTCTCGCAGCGTGGCCCTACTGTCTTCCAGATGCTGGGGGCAGCTGTGCCAGTGCTCCTCCCCGCATAGGGTATAGTGGGCTGCAGGCGGGTGCAGTGTGGGCAGGCAGGTTTCTGTGGCTATGGGTCGGGGATGGTGTGACCCTAAAAAGAGGGTTCTTCCCTCCCAGCTCTGTGCTGGAGCAGGGGGTGCCCTGTGCATGTCTCTTGGGCAGATCCTTGCTACCTCCTACACTGCTGAGTCTCCCTGACGCCGTGCGCTAGTCAGGAGGGGAGATTGATGACCTGGGTAGATGCATTGGGGCTGACTGCCCAGCTCGGGGGAGCAAGGGCAGTGAAGACCGGCTCTGTAAGCTGGCAACTGAAGCTGGAGCCCAGGAGACTTCTCATTAGCGTGTTCTGCCGCTTTCCTTCTTAATACCGAATGGAAAATTCAGCGAAGCTGCCTGGTGTCCGCAGGGACTGCCCATCAAACCGGCCCCCTGCTCCTGTCACTAAGCAGGCCCCGGGGCTCCAGCCGTGCAGATCCTGACGCAGAGCTGCGGGGGGAAGCGTGGATGGATGAGATGCTTTGGGAGAGTGAGTCTCGCCCTCTGGAAAAGAAACCGTCGAAGGTTGGGTGAATTACATTAACCCGGCGAGCCCTTAAAGGAAGAGGCAGCTGTGCCAGGCCTGGCTTGTTTCTCATGTCGGACTCCGGCCTTAAACATGAATAGATGCTATCAAGATGCAGCAAAGGGGCTGCAGTCTGGGTACGTGGGTTATCTTCCGCGGGTGCCTTCGCTGGGATGGTGCTGTCCATCGCCGTGCGGCCCGGAGGATTGTACGTCCAGCCAGGCACAAGCAGCAAGTGAATAGGCCGTTTACTTTAGCCAGCGGACTTGCTCTGACGATCAAGGCTGGTGAAATGAGCCCGTCGGGCAGCTCGAGTGGTGCTTGCAAGTGCCATTTGCATAACGGTGGGGGTGGGGGAAGGTTTCCGAACCTGTCAAACGAAGACTGTACTAAAAGCCTTTGCGCTTGGGCAGTGATTGAGGTTATCAGCTGCGGCTGCTGCCTTGTGGGCGGCTGATGGATGAGATAGCGCGAGGTAGCCCGGCAGGCGTGTCGCTCCATGTCTGCCTCTCCAGATGTCTCGGAGTCGGGGTTGGGCTTCGGAGGGCATTTGGAGACTCCTTTAGATAACCACATGCCTGGTGCGGACAGGCGTTTATCCCAGCTCCTATGCCCCCCACATAGAGCCCAGCTGATCTGCTCCCCCGCTAGCCCTATACAGCTTCCCCGGGGCATCTTGGTCCTGACTTGCCCTCCCCCCTCCTTTGCTCTTCCAGCCGTAGACCCCCAGAATCTCCCCGCTGCGCCAGCCCCTGGCAGGCCCGGGTGCAGCCGGGGTGCCGGAGCTGGCGCTCCCCCATCAGCGCGTTGTCTGTGTCCCCCGCAGACGGATCGAGGACTGCCTGCCCCCGCTGGAGAGCTCGCCCGCCAAGAGGTTCTCCCCGTCCAAGCGCAAGCAGCACTACATCAACCAGGCCATCCGCAACTCCGACCTCATCCCCAAGGCCAAGGGGCGCAAGAGCCTCCAGCGTCTGGAGAACAGTAAGGAGACGGCACACGCGGGCACCGCTTCCCTCTGCCTTCCCGGGGCCTTGCCACGCAGCTCGTCGGGGCAGGGTTGCCCAGGAGAGCCGGGCTGCTGGCACGTGGCCCTGAGCTCGCCTGTGCTGCGTAGCCGGGTGTTGATAAAGCAGCTGGAAGAGAGGCCACGTCACGGTGACTGCAGAGCTCTCTGCAGAGCGGCCGAGACGATGTTTTAAAGGCCCAGGTGCCTCTCCCCCGGGGCGCCCGACTCCAGTCCTCCGAAGCTTGCCCAAGGAGGCTTGGGTTGAGTCTTGGAGGAGGGAATCGGGATGCCTGGGTTATAAATGGGGGGAGCAGGTTTCCGAGGGATGGGGGAGCTCCCTATGTGACCCAGGCTGCAGCCCTGGGGCACGCTTTGAGCTGCCCGTGAGAGCAGGGGCTGTGGCAAAGGACTGAGAAATCCCCGCTTGACTCCAGTGCAGGGCCTGGCTCCTGGCTGCCCCGTCCCTGCTGCCTCCTGTCCGGTATCGCAGGCCTGGCCCCTGGCACTCGGAGCCCCTCGTGCCTGGCACTCTGGCCCCGCGCCCCTCACAGGCTTGCCTTTCTCCCAGCCCGCTACCTGATGACCCTTCTGGAGCGAGACGAGTGTGGCACCGACGAGGGGGACCTGGCTTACCCGGCCGCCCCCAGCATCTTCACCGAGGCCTGCAACAATGAGACCTACATGGAGGTAGGGGGCTCGGCCTCGCCGATGGCCGGGGGCGGCTGCTTGCTGCGGGCTGGCTCCGTTTTTGGCAGAAGGGCTCCCGTTCTGTCCTTCAGCCAAAGGGCTCTAGGACCCTGGTTGATCTCATGAGTCAGAGCCTCCAGCTTGCTTTGGGGGGATCCTTTTAAACCATCCAGCCCCAGTGCAGCTGTGGGGACACGGCACTGATATCAAAGTGCCTGAGCATGACCTGCTGCGTCCTGCAGCAGCTTTCTTCTTCCCCTTCTCTCGGTGGGGAGACTGGATTTGTACTGGAGTCAGTGTGGGTGTTCGGAGGTGTTGATCGAGCCATGCCAAGCTGGCCTGTTCCTCTCCATTCCCAGCCCTGGGGTTTCTGGGCTGCTGGGAGGAGGTGTCTGGACCGGCTTGTCCCAGGTAGGAAGCTCCAGGGATGGAGCAGGAGGCACTGATTTAGCCACGGTAGGAGCAGAGGCTCAGCAGGGTCCCAAGCATTGACATGGCCCAGGGCTGGCGGGGGGCTGGCACGTGGCAGCTGCAGCTGTGTGACGCTTCCTTTGTCAGATCTGGAACGACTTCATGAACCGGTCGGGCGAGGAGCAGGAGAGGGTCCTGCTCTACCTGGAGGGAGAGGCCAAGAAGAAGCACAAGAGGAAGCTGCCCGTTAAAGCGGAGGACAAGTGGAAAGGTACGGGGCTGGGGGAAGCCTGCCAGGACCCTCTGGGGTTGGGCTAGGAGCTACCTGCTGTAGCCTGACCTGGCCACGAAGGTGATCCGGGGCTCCCCAGCTGCTGTGGATCCTCCAGTGAGCAGAGGTCCATGCAGGTGGCCTGTAGGGAGGACTTGCTGCCTGAGCACTTGGGGATAAGGCTGCCACTTCTACCCCTGCAGCAGAAGGAAGCCAGCTCTGATCTCCCCTGTTCTGGGCAAAGGGCGACTATCATGGCAGTGCCCTCTCTGGGGGGGAACACTTCATGCCCTCTGCATGTGAAGAAGGGGAAACAGCTGAGCTGGACCCGTGCTCTCAGCTGCTCGGTCTTGCATGGAGACGTCAGTCCGACCTGCTGCTGCCTCGCGGCCGTGACGTGCCCGAGACGAAGCTGCGGTGGGGCAGGCTGCTCCCGGAGCTGACATGCGCATCCTGCCCCGTCTGTGTTGCAGAGCACCCCGCCTACACGCCCCAGGAGTGCTTCCAGCGCATCAGCCGCCGGCTCCGCTCCACGCTCAAGCGAGGCAGGATCCCACTGGTGAGCCCCCGAGTGGTGGGGGGCGGGGGGCTGTTCCTGGGCTGGGGAGTGGCGCTGCCTTGCTGGGGAGCCGGGGCTCCTGCCTCTTCACCAGCCCCCCCGACCCTTAAGGCACCTGCCTCTCTTCTGCAGGGGACCCTGGAGGGCCTGGAGGAGGAGCTCCTGGGTTTTTTCTCTGTCACCCCCCAGTCCGTGTACACCGCGATGATGGACAACAGGTAGACGGTGCTGGGAGGCTGCTCCTGTCCCAGAGGATGGAGCAAGCTGTGCAGGGGGTTTTGCACGTGGCTTCCTCCACGCTGGGTGTTCCTGACCCATCAAAGGACCCGGGGAGACGGGCCAAAGGGCTGCAGTGGAGAATGGGCCGCCTCTATCCAGCCCGCTCCTAGCACCCTCTGTCTACCGGACCGGAGGGGGTGGATCTGCCCCGCTGCTGGCTAGAGAGCATCACCCCAAGAGCGACAGGAACCCGCTGCTCCCGTGGCTTGTCCACCCTGCTGGGTGCCACGTGCCATGAAATCTCCACCCCGGGGCTCGCAGCGGGGGGAGGAGGGAGCCCCCAGGGCCTGGGGAAGAGGCAGAGCTAGAAAACCTCCTGTGATCTCACCCCACTACTTCTGGATCCCTTTTTTCCCCTCCAGCTTTGAGCGGCTGCTGCTCCACGCGCTCTGCCAGTACATGGACCTCGTCTCTGCCAGTAAGAGCCCTCGGATTTGTTTTTTCCTTCCTCCCCTTTCTTAGCTTTCCTCCTCTTCTGCAGCCCCTTGGCCTTGTCTGCTTGGCCACGTAGCTAAGCAGGGCTTCAAATCCAGGCTGCCTCGGCCCCTGGCTGGAGCATGGGGCTGGCAGCCAGGGGTTTTGGCTGTGCTGGGGGCAGCGATGGGCCTTGGGGGGGCTCTGTCTGTTGGCTCCAGGGCTTCATTGCCTCCCCTCACACGGCGTGTGCAGGTCACCACAGTGGGTGTCAGCCCTGGTTTGTACTGGGCTGTCTGCATCCTGCGCTTCCAGACATCCAGCCCCTGAAACGAGCAGGCGGGTTCAGCCGGG